GATTTATGACAAGTACATTTTGATAATAAATTCATTTGTCCATCAGAATTAATATTATTAATAATAACACTACGACGATTTGACAGGCTACATATCTCGCAATGAGATAGTGCCCAACTTTATCAATCAGCAAATTTAAGTTGAAGATTAACCACTGATGTTTTAATTGGCTATTCAAACCATTGATAAACAATAGCTGGATAAATTTCCTTACGTAATGGTTCCCAAGAATATATGTTATTTCTAAATTTAAAAATTAATTCAAATAATTATTTAATTTGTAAATGAATTAATGAATGAGTTGGTGGTAAATGTGCAAGTTCTACTAATGTAACAAAAAATGGTAATTGTTGAGGTATTATTTGAATTTGAATTAATGCTAATTGTTTGGTTGATTTTTCATCTTCAGTATCAAATGTAAATTCATTACAAATTGGTACATGATTAATTAATTTTTGTATTGTTTCAGTTGTTGTATATTTGTTTACATATATATAATTTCATAAAGTGATGTTGGTATATTAAATGCTGGATATTGTTGTTGATATTGATAATTTTTCTTCGCCTTTTCTGCAGCACCTATCCAATTCGATTTTTGATTGTCATCAAGATGAGCTGGAGGATTGTTAATATCATGTACAGTGGAAGACAAAAGTTCTGGGACAAACTTTTCCTTTTAATAGTGTTTTGTTAAGAAGCTAATAGAAGGAAATGGTGATGTCTTGTAATGTATCTAATAGCAATCTCTCATATACTGTTAGACCATTATAATTGAACGTTTCTACAGAAAGTTATATAAATCTCAAAATTAGTCCATTGTACAAAAGTTCTTGGACAATGCAGGAATATTGCGTCGGGTAACTAATATTATATACAAAAAATGATAAGATGAAGCTGAAAATTTCAGAATTTGTAGTTCTTATCAAGACAATATTCTTCATAAAAAATAGTTTTGAAAAATCTTCCAGCATCATATTTTGCTGAGTCTAATGAAAATGACACCTTTAGACACTCAAGACTTCTACTCATCTTGCTTCTAATACGTGAGTTCTTCATGAAACTTCCAAGATATATCGGGAGTAATGTCACTAGTAATTATGGAAATTTTCAGCTCATATCCTCATTTCTACTTTGAGATATTTCCATTTTAAGATCAAAAAATTGTGCTATTTCAAGGCAGAATCTATCCCACGTCTTACGTGCAAGATGACTCGGAACCTTTTCAAATTATAGAAGACATATCGCTCTCGCTTGCTATAATGTCGGCTCTTTTAAATTCCCATTAGTTGTTTAGTCAGTGGAAATTTATTGTAACATGGGTAAGAAAACAGTTAAAAAAGCCTGAAGATGGATATCAAATTTCAATCATAGAATTATTTCTAAAGACAAAGATGAAAAAAATAAATTATATGTTATTTTAAACTCTAGATATATATATATACTCTTTCGAATGAAACAAGAACAAAAGCGTAATATCGTATTGCTGATGAAAATATCAAAATCTTCTATCGTGTTCGAGTCACCATTAAACTACGTAAGTATGTATGAATGTATATCTAAGATATTTTTTTGTTGCTTCTATAAGTAAGAAAAGAAAAGAACATGAAACAAATGCTAGAAGAAGTGTTTATCAAACATAAAAGAAGATTATTTTTCAATTGCACCTCCTTTTGCTTTGACATATTCAGCTATACGTTTAGGCATTGATTTAATTAAGTTTGCACAAATTGTTGATTCGACAGATAACCATTCACTCCGTAAACTTTCGTTTAGTTCTTGAATAGTATGCATAGGAATTTTTTTAAACTTCTTGTCGATAATTGCCCATAAGTTTTCTACCGGATTTAAGTCCGGACTGTGTGCAGGCCATGGTAATATGTTTATTGACAAATCTTCAAACAAAGCTTTGATATCACGAGTTTTATAATATGGTGCGTTATCCTGTTGGTAAATACCATTTGTTTCCAAATGCCACATATTAATTGACGGAATTAATTCATTTTCTATAACATCACCATATAATGCAGAATTCATATTTTGATTGTACAATTTGCAACAACTGGTTCCTGTTGCAGAAATCACGCCCCAAAACGCAACTTTGGCTCCACCACCTTGAACAACTTCTTTGATGCAATCGGAAGTCATTACGTTCTCGTGATGTTCTCCATACCTTAGTCACATTCTTATCTCTAAACAAAAAAAATGTAGATTCATCAGAAAACATGATATTTTACCATTCATTCGATGTCCAATCTAGTCTTTCTTGACACCATAATAATCGTGCCTTCATATGCGTTGATGTAAGTACGGGTTTCTTTAATTTCATCTTGTACTCGTAACCTAATTCAACTAAGTAACGTTGTACTGTACGAGCAGATATAACTTTGCCAGTTGCTGTACTTAACTCAGCTGCTGATGCATGACTTGATTGACGTGCTGTACGAGTTGTTAAACGTTTTAATACCCGAAGATCATGTTGTGTCAGTTTTTTTGGCAGCAGTGGCAGAATTCATCCCAAGCAGAATTTAAGAATTCTGCTAATTGATTCAGTTTTCCTTATCCGTTTATGTGCTTCATTTTATATGGTTATCTCTGCTTTAAAATCAAAATTCTGCTTAGAATTATGTTTTTCCAGCAGAATGGTGTTAGAATTTTGATTCTCTAGCAGAATTTTGCTCCATCATGTACACTTATTCATGCTTCGAAATGAAAATTCTGCTTAGAATTATGTTTTTCTAGCAGAATTGTGTTAGAATTTTGATTTTCTAGCATCAGCATCGATATCAACATTAACATCAACATCAACACCAACTCCAACATCAAAATCAACATCAACACCCATACCCACACTCAATTCATCAATCTATGAATTTATTTCGCAAACACTATAATGATATTTTGTTTTACATGCGGAATTTTAGCATGATTTAAATCATGTATTAAAAAAAATGAATATATATGTAGCATAAGTTCTATATTTTATGTATGATCAATGATTTATATAACAGGAAATTTTCGGTCTTTTTAACAGGCATTTTCAATCTATGGAGCTGTTTGATGAAAAATTAACAGTACAACAGAAACTAAAGATGGAAAAAATAAACAGTAACACGAAAAACGAATATGTCCATAAGGTATAAACTAAAGATGATACCGATGACATCATGAAACATATGTTCACATATAGGTATATAATATCATGAAAATATTAATACCATAAAATGCTAAATTTCAAAACAATATATATACAATATCATACAATATCAATATCATAAATATTAACATTATAAGACATATATACATATATATATATAACATGATGAACATAGTGCATATTGATTGTGATGTTATAGATTATTACAATGATTATCATTACATTATATATGTAATGATGCTTAGATGTTAATATTTTACATAATGGTAATATTTTCATGATCTTATATGTATCATTATGTAAAATACTAACATCTTAGTGTCATGAATAATACAATTCCACGCGTGGGACAGAATTCTGACAAAATTCTGCTGGAAAAATATAATTCTAAGCAGAATTTTGACTTATAAACAAGGTTATACGATGGAACAAAATTCTGCTAGAGAATCAAAATTCTAACACAACTCTGCTGGAAAAACATAATTCTAAGCAGAATTTTGATTTCAAATCAGGGATAAGTGTGCATGATGAAGCACAATTCTGCTAGGGAACCAGAATTCTAACATAATTTTGATGAAAAAGCATAATTCTAAGCAGAATTTTGATCTGAATACAGTGATATGCGTATGTGTTGGCACACAATTCTGCTAGGGTATCAGCATTCTGTCAAAATTCTGCTGGAAAAACATAATTCTAAGCAGAATTTTGATTTTAAAGCAGGGATAATTGTATATAATGGAACACAATTCTACTAGGGAATCAGAATTCTAACACAATCCTGCTGGAAAAATATAATTCTAAGCAGAATATGCCTAATAGAGTTATTATTGTTTTGGTACATTATTATAAGAATGATAAATACATGCAGAATACAGAATTCTTAAAATCTGCTTGTGAGAATTTTGCCACCTCTCAGTATCTATCTATTGAGTAAATTTTGGAATCCAAAAGTTGTTTTTAAACGTAAAAAACTCAAATTTACGTAACGGAAATAGCGAAACTCATTTTTCTCAAACCAACTTTTCATTAAAAAAGTGCAGAAATGCTTCAATTTCCGCAGTCTAGTACATTCAACCGAGCTGAAACTTTTCTCACATATATCATACATTGTTTGGAATGAGTATTTTTGTTTTGTTTTAAAAACTAATGTTTTGTTGATCATTGGTAACTCTTTTAAAAAGCCATGCGTTCTTTAGAATATCTTCGCCGAAACAGTGTCTAGTGCCCGACAAAAAAGTTCTCAGGTCGATCGAACATAGCATGTCAGTAAAACGAAGCCAGGGCATTTTTCACCATTGTAATTCTAGTATCTCATAGAAGACAGCATTCGAAATGATAACTTTCGCTCTACTCGTCAAGATCTACCTGTCCTGAATATTTCAAATTTTCCTAATTATAGAAAAACGATCGACAGTGATCATCGTTATTTCATTAAGTAGTTTAATCATATGTTTTCATATTCTCTAATGATGAAATAAAGATGTACTTTAACTTAAATTATCTAATCATGAAACCAAAAATAAAAGCCAATGAAATACTTAGTAATGAATATAAATGAAAATAATGATCAATATTTTGTTTTACTATGGCAAATATATGATTATATTACTAATAAAAATGTTTAATTAACAAATAGAACCAATAAGATATGACTAATGTACATTAAATAAAACAATTGAAAATCTACATTTGCACAAATAATGGAATTCGTCATATCAGATATAAAGTATGTTCATAAAAGTAGTAATGAAAAAAAAAAGAAAAGAAATAAAGATTGGTGAATCTTAAAGATTACATTAATAATATGAACAAACTCAAATTTATAATTGATATATTATATTCATTTTTAATTTTGAAATTGACTCAGAACATGTAATGGTTCAAGTCGTGTTTTAGCCGAACCTTTTCTTATTCGTGAATCTAATTCATTCTGTCGATCATTTAATACCAATGGTTTCTTTTCTGGTAAACGCATTTTCCATTGAACAATCGGCTAAATGAAGAATAAAGAAAAAAAATAAAGTAACGTCAATACAAATCATCATGAAAATCTCACTTCTTTATTGCCCGATTTATTACGATATTTTGTTGAAGCAATATACGATGCTTTAACTGTAAGTACAACAGCATTCATTAAATTTTTGGCTGCAGTTATCAATGAAGTTGCACTATCAAGCTAATGAATAAACTCAAAATGAAAAATTTCAATTGAAATTAATCGAGAATACATACTCCACTAACAATTAATTCACCACTTATATTTTGTACATCAGCTTTAACTTTACTTGTTATATCCAATTGATGACAATAGAGTGTAATACCTTATGAACGAACACAAAAAACTTGAATATTAAAAAATAAAAATAAATACTTACGATCAACATAAGCAACAAGATCAGATTTTGATTGAGATTCAACACACTATTACAAAAAAGAAATTTTATTTCGATATTCAAAAAAAAAATTAAAAATTTACTTGAGCTGCAATATCTTTAGCTAATTTATTTAATTTTGATCCACATTCAGATATCATTTTAGCTGCATTAATTACATCCATTGTTGTACGTAATGGTCCACGACCACTATATGAAAAAAGAAAAAAACAAATTTCAATTGTTATATTGAAAAATGATCATTTTTCAAAAACAAAAAAGTTTTACCGAGTAAAATCAGTCATTTCCATCATAATCATACACATTTTTTTAGCAAGAACAATTATATCATTACCACGATCATCCCATTTAAGTACTTCACGTTCAAAATCACGTTTTGTTTTTTTAAAACCTTCGACTTGAATTTCAATTTGTTCACGTTCTTCTTTTGGTAATCGTCTCATCAAATCCTTTATTTTTTTTTTGCATAAATAATTAAAATAAAAAAGAAAAATATCTATTGATTTCATACTCGACTTGGATTATCATTTTTGCCTGGATACATTTCAAGATCAACTACTTGCTGACCATCGGATGATGGTCCATAACTTGATGCTTGAGATTGAGCATAAATTTCTTCATTTAAACCTTCATCATCATCACTTGGCCATTCAAGATCCTATTACAATATTAAATATATTTATATTCCAAAAATATTTTTCTTTATTCATTTTCATATGTATAAATAAATCATAGTTAGTATTGAAGTTTTTTTTTTTCCTACAGGCTATGACAAATATTATTATCTAGCATGATTTATTGAAGGAGACAGTGAAAAATTGAATGTTAATTGATTGTCATTGATCTTTTTTTGTCACATGCATGATGATTAACAAGACAATGGACACTCGAATTTTCGAATTCATATATTTAGAATATACCAAAAGTGATAATGATGGTACTATAATATCGTATAGGATAGCTCGAGGAAATTTTCTCTTTATATATACTGATACTTCAAATAATGCTCTTTATTTCTTAAGTAGTTCATCATTCTTTTGTTATAATTCAGATCAGTTCGTATTTGTAATATAAATATCGTTATTAGTAAAGTAATGAACATATTCGATAATTTCAGATGTATTAGATCGTATTTCATCCATTCATTTCTTGTTAATCTTTACAAAATCATTTTCATTATCTTGCAACTCTTCTCTGAAAGATGAATAATTTTCATTCAAAATTTTCTTATTATCTATATTAATTGAAGAATGAAAGAGTATTGTTTATGTTATCAATGAATATAAAAAGAAATACTATCGAAACTTGCTATTCTATATAGTAATGTCGTAGTAAAATCTACAACTGTTGCTCTCATAACATTTTCTTTCCTATGGCTCTTGTTTACAATACCAAGTAATCAAAAACCGATTAGAAAATTAATGAAATTAGATACAGACATCGTTCTCACATTAATCTTTGCCTTGACACAACCTTTCACTTTCAGTATGATGAGAACAAGTGTCGTGGAAGTATTTATTTCACATATAACAGTCATGTTACAACCGACGTCATTACTTTGAATATAACCCTACGTCAAAGAGTTTTATCATATTTTATATTTTAATCTACAAACCATTCTATTTCAAAAATAATTATAAACGATCGAAATTTTGATCAAGATTTTCATTGTTTGATATTTTCGATTTCAAATTTTTCAACAAAATTTAAATACAATAAAATGTCTAATAAAGAAAAGCCAATCATTGGCTAACTGCTGTTTCTTTGTAATATACATATGTATATAGAAATGATTACAATAAAAGGATTATGCCATAAGGAACAAACTAACTTCTCATAACCTCAGTTAGCCTGGAAAAATAACAAATACTCTTCTAAATCATTATAATCAATGATCGTTTTTTTATCATTTAAAGATCTTTCATAGTCAAGATATCAACTAGAAATTTTTATTTTCAAATATTGTATACAGTTTAGGGAGCTATGGGTCCCACGTTTTATTTTTTGTCGGGCCCGGTTAAACGTTTTTGTGAATCTGCTGCTGCTCAGATGAAAAATACAGCAACAAGATATAACTGTACATTGAGTTTTTTTTCTAAGAGTAACCAATAAATAGCTAAAACCTTGATCCTTTACTTGTTCATATACACGAAGGGTGCCAGATATTGATGGAGGAAACCTCGAGTTTGGATCCAACCGGGTCCGGGTCCACAAAAACATGGACCCGCAATTCTCTAATACAGTTCTGTATTCATATAAAAAATTTTGACGAAACTATTGAACTTACCGGATTCATTAATACACTATTACGAATATCACGTATGCAATGATAAATATTACTTGATACTTCGATTAATTCTTGTTCAGTTAATTCATACTAAAAGAACTTGAATTTTATAACAAAAACTAAACATATTTCTATTCACTGTTCTATTATCTTGTAAAGGTTTCATTCGAAGAATGTCAATAGCTATTTGAATTCTTTCAACAAAATTTGGCATAACTAAATATAAGAATTTTTTATTTCAATATATGAAAAACTTTCATTTACTGTGATCTCGTAGAACACGAACACTTTCCATAACAGTTCCAGTATATTCTCCTGGTTCATATTTTTCCATTTCAGCAGTAACAACATCAATAACACGCATTGATCGTCCTCGAATAGCTCCTGCTGTACGATCAACACCTAATTAAAAAACAAACATTCTTTTTTTTTTCTCAAATCAAAAAAATTTGTTTTTATATACGATCTGAATTTCGTTCAACCATAGCTTGAATACATGAATTAATATCTTCAAGTATATGATTTTCAGAAATAGCAAGAAAATCTTCAATTTTTGTTATTTCATCAACAGCATCAGTTAATAAGCGAACATGTTTTTCCCATGTATCACGAAATATATCCATATTTTCCAGAGCTACTTTTGATGTTGAACGTGCAGCAAGTATTCGTGCAGCATTTACAACCTATCAAAGAATTCATTAATCTATGACTTTGTAAACAAGAAAAAAAGGTTTTCTTTACTTGTGGTGAAAGATTTTCAATTTGTTTTGCAGTTAAACGAACTAATTTTATACCTTCAATAGAATCCGACATTGAACATACAACATTAGCAACCTAGAAAAAATTAAAAAAATTTTGTTGTTTTGTTACGATAATATTTCTTGACTGTACTTCAATTAATTTAGTTGCATGTTCTATAAAGATTCGAGCAGTTTCTTCAACTAATTGAGTATTACCACGTCGTGCTGCATCGATTAAAGCAAGAAGTGGAACATTAGTAGCTACAAATGTATCACTAACATGATCAACAACTGCTTTTCGAAGCTAAAAAGAATAAAAATAAAAATATTACAAATTAAATAAATTAAAATTTCATTGCTACCGATGTATCATCAGTATCTGTAGGTGTTAAATAAGAACATTCAAATGATTCTATTGATGATAATGATGATTCTCGATATAATTTAATACTTGTACTTTTATGTATTGGATTTGGATTACCAGCACATAGATACACATACATTTTTTTTTCGTTATTAAACTTGTCTTTACTTTCTATTCTTTCTTTTTTTTCGTTATGACTTTATGTTTAATGTATGTCGATAGGTTTTGACCGATAGACGTAACAAATTATTCAATCAACGCCTATCATTCACTGAGTCACGATGATGATCATGAAGATGATAACGACGATGATGACATGCAATTCGACATTTACTCGGCCTATGTCTTGATAATTAAAAGCATATATAGAAATGAATATATTGCCCTTATATATTTTTCTTTCTCTTTGTCGACACACCTACTAGATGAGTGGTCATTTATAATTCAATGCAAAAGAAAGAAAAAATATATATATGCAAGACACAGAGAGCGAGAAAGGAAATCTTGATGAATAATATGTATATAAAATTAGTTCATTATATTGAACTTTGTTTCATGACCTCCGGAATAGAGACAATAATGAAAAGCAAAAAAATAAAAAAATGAATGACTATTAAAAACTCATTTACTTGTTTTCGTAAATCACGAGTTTTTGTTTGCATTAATTGAATTTTTTCATTAACATTTTCATCTGAACTTTTCTTTTTCGACTAGAAAACAAAAAAAAAAAGATCAAATATTATAATATTTAAAAATTTCCTTTTTTTTTTACATATTTAATATATTCATCAAGTAGTTCTTGTAAAGCTTGTCGAACTGAATTACATTCTTGTACAATTTTATCACGACGATCTTCTCTTGTCGATAATGAATCAGCAAGTAAGGCTGCACCTGATATTATATCTTCAAGACGTCCTTCAAGTTGTGGTCGAATAATTTGTTCATTAAATTTTTGTGGTTTCATCATAATTATATTCTAAAATAAGTCAATTATTAGATTTTATTGCTTTTTTTTTCATTTCTTAAATAAGAAAACATTCTTACATCGAATTCATTTAATGCTCTTGTTAAATCTCCAATTGTATTTAATGATGAATTATATGTTGATGTTTCAAATTGTCCTTGTGTTATGGAAGAAATCATTTTAACAGTATGACGTAATTGATTATGAATAAAATCACGATTTTCACGTGCAGAAGGTATTTCAGGATGACGTAAATAAGTTTTTGATGATGTAAATAACATCATTGATGATCGTTTTAATGTAGCACGTGCAGTAGCTAAATTTTCTTGTTCAGTTCGATCAACTAAATCCTAGAAGCAAAAAAAAACAAAGTTTTTGACCTTTGTTAAGAAAAAAATATCAATTTTTACTTGTTGTCGTCGTTGTGTATGATGATTTAAATCATTAATATCTTTACCATATTGTTTATAATAATGAATTAATTCTTCTTGATTTGATGCATTATAAATATGTTGTAAATCATCTTCAACCTGAAAAATTAAGTTAAATAATAAAAAAAAAGGAAGAAGAAGAAGAATTGAATTGATCTATACCAAACGAATAGATTTTAAAATAGTTTGTACATCAACAAGATCAGCTAAGATAAGTAAATGTGTAACTGATGTAAGTAAAGCTCGTGCAGCATTAATCATTTTTTCACGTTTTATTTTTGAACATGAATCATCAGCAAATTCTCTTGATAAAACAACCATTTCATCACCTTTTATATTCAAATTTTTAAAACAAAAATTAAATAGAAAAAAAAAAAAAATTTTCTTTTTTTGTTTTTATTCTTACCTGCTCGTTTAACTTCTTTCATACTTTGTAATAAATCATTACGCATATGAGGATTTTCATGAGCAATTTCACCAGCTTTATTAATAAAATTTTCTGTTGCTTGAATAACATTTTCAACTAATTGATGAGCTTGTTTTGAACGACCTTTTTTTATATTTGATGGTTGTTCAGATATTAATGAAGTTACCTAACAAGAATAAATTTCTTAGATATTTAACATTTTTAGAATTACTTACAGTGACGAATGTACTTTAATTCCTTATAAAAAGCTTTAAAGAAACTTTTTTCTCTATATGAACTGATAGTAAAAACGATACTCTATTTTTCTATATTATTACATCATTTCTTCAAGTAATATTGCAATAATAAAATTTCGATAAGATCTGTTCTTTTATCATATGTGACGGTTGTAATATAATGTCTATTGAGTGGATAGTTTTTGAATAACTTTTGATAGATACGAGATAGAAAGCTGGGATTTTTATCGTCCGAAAAGAGCAGATAAAGATGCATCAAATAGTATATTGTCTGAAGTTTATTTAATCAAATTTATCAAAAAGAAAACAGCAAAACAAAATTTTTTTTATTACTTAGAGCTTCGACTAAAATACCTATAACTCCTGAATGATTAATTCTAAACATCTGAACCTTGTACAGTTTTGTAGATCTTCTATTCGCGGTTTGAATACATACCTGTCAATTAAGAATTCACTGTAAACATCTCACAGAGTTGGTTTAGTTTTAAAAAAGTCGATTGAAAACCTTTAAAAAAACATAGAATATACTATTCGATGCATCTTCATCTTCTCTTTCGAATGAAGTTTTATTATTATGATATTACTTGAAGAATAATGTAATAACATAGAAAAAATAGAGCGTCATTTTTACTATTAGTTCATATAGAGAAAAAGTTTCTTTAAAGCTTTTTATAAGGAATTAAAGTATTTCTGTCACTACTTTTGTATTGTCGTAAGTATATTTATTTTTAGATATGTTGAATCGTGCTCTAATTAGTGCACAACAAAAAAAGTAGTATAGGTAAGATAATTAGATTTACTAGGAAAATTTCATTGATTATTTTCTTTTTTTTTTTAGTCAAAAAAAAAAATAAAGTTTACCGTAAAACAAATTCAATGATAGATTTTTATTTTAAAATAAAGCTAATTTTTTAAATTAAAATCGTTTTTATTATTATTTCTTGTTCTCAAAACATGCACATACAAATAATAGAAATAAATAAAAATCTATCTGGTTTACAATCTCGTACTTTTCAATTACAATCAATTAATTAACTTTGTTATTATTCTTATGAAATCAAGTTAATTAAAAAGTTATGATTATTTCATTCTTACACGAGAATTTCCATTCAATGAATAACTCTGTTATAATGTTTTATAAACAGTTCCTACTAAAAGAAAACAAATACAATAGAACATAAATACTGAAAAAGATGATTGTCAAAAAAAAAAAAAAAAAGAACGATTGTTGAGACTTCTTTCAGTCTCAGTTTTTTTCCTTCGTAAACCAAAACAAAACTTCATAGAAAAATTCAATTTCATTATAAACATATAATTTATTTAAGACTTGCTAAAAGTATTTTAAAAAAAAAAAAAGAATTTTCTATATAAAATAACGCATAATTTGAAAACAACATTTAGCAACAACATGTAGGTTCGAATCGATTATTCATTATATTTTTCAGTATCAAGTTTAAACAAGAAAATCGAAAACAACTTTTTTTTTTCATACACAATCGCTAATATAAACTTCGTCATTATTTTCATTAAAAAAAAAAAGAGATAAAATTAATTATGACAAACCTCAACAACTAATGGATCTAATGCTCGTTGTACAGACCATGTTTTTATTTGAACATCTGTTGGATTAAATTTTGTTGTATAAACATGTGTACTCATTATTATTTATCTATACAATCAATATCGAAAATAATCTTTACTTTGATTTGAAAATGTCAATGTTGAGTGAATAGAAATTACACGAACTTTTTTTTTTGTATTGTTTTTTACACCAATGAAAATTGTTTTAACTCAATGAGTTCTAATTGGTTAAGAAATTCAACCTGTAGGTATAACCGATGATCTCATCTAGCGATCCGATCTCTTCTTCTCTCGTTTTGTTTTTTTTTCTTCCTTCAATTTGGTTGTCGAGTGAACGTACACACCTTGTCTTCCCAACTGTTGTGTTTATTTCTTGAAAAAAAAAGTATTTCTTTCTTTTTTTTTTCTTTATTTGAGTATGTCTACGTCCTTCAAACATTTTAAAACAATATTTTGTTGTTTCGTTACTTGATTTTTCAAGAGAAAAGAATATATTATTTTCTTTTTTTTAGTGTTTGGTCTTTCTAAATTTTTGAGATGAATGATTATAGACAACGTATCAATCTTAATCGACGAATGGAACCATCGACAACATCGATGGGTAAATTTTTTTCAAATCGTCTTCGAGATTCACTTCATTATGGTGGTGCATTAACAACAAATGAAAGAGAAAATTTTGATCAAACAACAGCTGATTATGAAGCAACACCTGAACCACCGATTAGTTTATATGATGTTAATCGTCCTATTGTAACACCATCATCAACATCATCAACAAATGAAACATATTTTACTCATACAACACCTGATATACATAAATTTTCTCGTCGAGTTGAATTATCATCTGGTTATAATATATTAAAAAATCGTACTAGTTCACGTCCAACACGTTTACCAACATATTTACAAGGACGTACACCACTTGCTCAATTAAATCCATTACCAACAACAATAACAATAAATAATACTGATGATAACCGTCAACGACGTTTATCATATACTGATCATGATCGTGCACAATATTTAGCATATAATCAACAACTTTTACAAAAATTTCATATTGATGGTACACGAAGACCATTTTCATCAGATAGTCCATTACCACCTCCATTACCATTACCACCATCAGTAACAACAACAACAACGACAACATCAAATTCTTATTTTACATCATCTGCTCCACCTGTACACAATCGTACAGCGTATGAACCAATTGAACCATTAAAATTAGTATTAACACAAGAAGATAATTCTATAGCAGATTTATCACGTGAATTACGTGCTGCTGCATATCCAACAACAAGAAAATCTTCAAATCATTCTCCAACACGTGAAACATCACCAAATACAGCACGTTATTCAACACGAATTAATTCTAAACGTATACCACCACCACGTTCATTACCTAAAATACATATTAATGAACAACAACAACAACAACAACAACAACAAACATCAATATCAAATATGAAAATAGCACATTTTTATCATCATCATGAATCAGAAAAAAATCCATCAATAACAGAAGATCGTTTACAAAGTTCATCAGCAGCATCATTATTACTTGATCAATTTTTTAATTCAGAACTAACACCACCAAAAGATACAACAACAACAACAATACAAACACATGAAATGATTTCTATAGGCAATGAAAAACCACGTAAATTATAATTTTATAATAATCAAATTATTACACATCATATTATACTCTTATCTATAAATATAGTCACCTGATGTTAAGGACATATAAGTTTACATTATCATTAGACTCCTGTGGGACAGTTTCGTTTTCCGTTCTGTTAGATATTTTGGATTAAGACAATTTAAAAGAACAAATGAGATTGAAAACTTGAAAAGCGTTTGTCTAGTAGAACGACATGTTTATATGTGTCTATTCGAAAAAAACTCAGGACGAGATTCGGGACTTGCAAAAAAAGTTTACCCTACAGGTAGAGAGTCCATCGAATCTGGGTAGAACCTAATGAACACTATCCACAGGACTCTAGTTATCATACAAGTCAAATATTCTTATTCTTTAACATAATAACTAAAATTATTTATTTCATTTGTTTGTTTTTATTTATTTAGATCGTGAACATTCACAACCAACTGCTATATTAATGAGAAATTCTTCAATATCAAATAGTGCTGATGATACAACAATGTCATTTGTTTCAAAATATGCTCGTTTAGCTCCTATTGTATCTTCACAAACATTTTCAACGAATAGAAATTCTTCCATAATTCCTATTGATGATAATATATCGAATATGAATCGTTCATTAAATATTGAAATTAATCATCATGAACAAACTTTTGATACACTTCATGATTTATCATCATTTCATAATGAAACAACTATTATTACGGATGATTTACTTCAAACATCTGAAATAATTCATACGGATTCTATAACAGATGAAAATGAAGAAAATTATTCTTATGTACCATTAAAAGAACAAATAAAATCTATAAATCATATACCATTACTTGAATTAGATGAACTTGAAACAAATAGTGATATAAGTGAATCACAATTTGTACCAATAATATATGCAAAAGAATTAGCAAATGAAATTGATCTTTTACAAAAAGCACATTTACTTAAACAACAACAACGTTCAATTGCAATGGATAATGAAAATGAAAGAATTAATGATAATAATTCTGTACCACCACCAGCTAATATGGAATTATTAAATTTTGAAACACTTGAAGAAGAATTTTCTATTTTACAACAACAACAACAACATCAAGATGAAGAAAATACACCATTACCATCACCAAGAATTCCATCAACAATGATGGAAATATCATCATCATCACCAATAACAATAAAACCTGAATCATCACCAATTCCATTATCTGAAAATGAAACATCATTAACAAATATTTTACAACATAGTATACTTATACATAATCGTTCATCACCATGGTTTAAATTACCAACAGAACTTTGGTTTAAAATTTTACCTTATTTAAATACAAATGAATTAAATAATTTTTCTTATGTTTGTAAACGTTTTTATTTACTTGTACAACATCAAGCATGTTGTCATCGAATAATAATAAATCGTCGAAAAGAATTAGAACAACTTTGGTTTGATAATATTAGTCGACGTCAACCTATTTCACTTGCATTTATTGAATGTCGACAACAAAATCTTGAAAATTCACAACAACAAATTCAAAATAAGTAAGTAGAATCTTGCAAATCATTTGAGTCAGATCCTATTGTAATATATTGAAAAAAAAATGAATTTATTTCTTATATATTTAGTTGTGAGAATATAAAATGGTTTGAATTTTTTCAAACAATTGGTACAAATCTTATTGATTTTACAATGACTGGTTGTTATCATGAACCATTTACACCTAATACATTATTACCAATAATAGTAAAAACTTGTCCAAATCTTTTATCACTTAATCTTCGTTGGAATAATATAACAGAATCAACATTAAATCATTTAATAACTTATTCACAATTTATTCATTTACATACACTTGATTTAACTGGTTGTCAAATATTAGATGATACATTATTAATTAATATATTTATTCGTACAGAAATAGATTTTCATTTAAAAAAACTTATTCTTCATGCATGTACAAATATAACATGGATAGGTCTTGATACAATAGCTATTTGTATTCCAAATTTAATTCATTTAAATATAAGTCGTTGTATTGGTTTAAGAAATCTTTCATTACATCAATATTTAACATGTTTTCATTATTGGCCTAAACTTGAATATATTGATTTTGGTCAACTTATAACATTAAATGATCAAGATCTTACAATTGTTTTTGATAATTGTAAATATTTAAATAGTTTAATATTAGATGATTGTATTAATTTAACAGATCAAACATTAAATAGATTAACATCTGATTTTCATATGATTAGTTTAAGTAATTGTACAACAATAGATATGAATATATTTTTAAATCTCAATGAACAATGTCCAAATTTACATACTATAAATTTAAATTCTATTCAAAATTTTAATGATAATTGTTTATTAAAATGGTCAGAAAAACCATTAATTCATTTAAAAATTTTCATACTTGATAATTGTACAGAATGTACAATAAATGGTATTGAAAAATTTCTTGAAAAACATTCTAATTTAAGAAAATTATCATTAAATGGTAATGTTATATCAAATGAAATAGAACAACAAACATTAGAACAGAAATTTCCTAATATAAAATTTGTCTTTCAATAAATCTTATCCTGATACTCAGTTTGTTATTTAACATTTCCGTCTTCTATAAAAAAAAAAAAGCACAGTGTGTATAGAATTTTTCTTTTCACAATTATTCACGTGTTACTATTGTTCGATTGTATTGTTGTTCTATTATTTATGTTAACTGATAAAATGAATATTTGTATTACAAACAAAAAAAAACACAAAAACACGACAATTATGACTCGCATATGTATATATATATATATATATACGACTAGTGTTTATTTTTAGATCATCTGGTTAATTTGTCTTATTCGTCGATAAGATAATGTCATAGTTTATCTTATATAGAAAAATCAAAGAAATTTATCGTAACTAGGTAAATTATAAAAAGCCAATAACCAAAAAAAAAAGGTTTTAATTAGCCTAGTCTGCATATATGGATTATATGTTATAAAAAGTCTTTTTTTTAATGAAAAGTATAAAAAAAAGGTTATTTTTTCTTAATTATGAATAACCTATTGCATGCTTTATCAAATGCAATATCTGATAAAGTTTCCAAATGAAGTTTTAGTTAGAAGATTACTTGAAAATTATATCAATAATGATTCAATTCCTATCGGAAATTTTCTACCAATATTTGTTAGTAATAACCATTTTAAATTGTAGAAAAAAAAGTATCAACAAAATACGAGATCATCGATCTTTTTTTTTTTCGAAATAAAAATACAACAATTGTTCATTTTCTTCAGAATCTCATATGATTAAAGATATTATATTAATACTTGTTTTTAGATTGAAGATGATCGTAGGTTTTGTAATTTAATTTATACAAAGCTTTTAATTTCAGACAGAATATTTTCTAGATCTTATCTTTCC